AGAAGCCGACTGAGAGCCACCTCGCAAACCGGAAGAGAACCTCAACGTCCAGCAAGGAGGAAACGAATCTCTCGAGTGCAAACGGGTGTTGATGGGAATTGTCTCCTCGAATGACGGCACAAATGCCTCTAGAATTCTCCACGATCGCTCAGTAGTGCCACGAAATTGATAAGCTCCCGTTATTAGACAAGGTCGGTCGGAGAAATAAGTCCTCGGTGAAAGGGGGAAAAAAAAGCGGCAGGACGTATTGATTCGTGTTGTAAATCTCTTTGGAACGATCTCGTTGATTGGCGACCGAACAGCCAGTTTTTTAAGATATAGATATTAAGTATTGCCTCACACCTAAAGATGTATTTAGTACTATACCTGATGAAGGGAGGGGCAAAGTCGCAATTAAATGATATATTGTTTTAAGGGATTAAAGAGAGCATGCTTCAGCTTTCCGGATAGAAGCGTAGAGTCTAACTGGTAATAAGAACCAAACTCTGTGGTGGTATAGCCTGCGCCCTACCATACCTATGTGCATTTTGTGTTTTCACTGAATTCAAGCACACCACATTACAACTATAAACACATACCAAGGGAGCCACATTCCTTCTTTGTTAGGCCGAAAGAGTCTCGCTCTTTTGGCTTTGACACCGAACCTGGGAGAAAATAATGGGGGACCACAAACTGTGCCAGTGCAACGACGGGCCTCACTCGTATGACTAACACCGGTCCGGAAGGGCGTAGGAAGCGTGACATGAGAATGACAAACATATTGCAAATATATCCATACTGTATAGGTATGACATCGACCAAAGGCATGTTTCACTGCCAGACAATCTATTTCCTCGTCTCGTTTTTTCCTGTGTAATGCCCAAGTTCATCTTTCATTCGTACTGTTAACAGAAGTTCGCTGTTTATACAGGGTGTCCCACTCGCTTTGGTACCCGAAAAAGCTCGAATAACCTTTAAACTATTGAACGTATTACAACGAAATTTGACCTGCACGTACCTTACTATATGACAATCAAAACGATGTCACAACATATGTTGGAAATGTCGGTCGTTTGCATCCAAGCATGCTTGGACTCGACGTTCCATGTTTAGGAAGGTGCGTTCTATCATATCCGGATCCACTGCGTCTATTTCTTGCCGGATGTTGGCCTCGAGTTCCGCAAGTGTTCTTGGCTTGTTCCGGTACACTCGCCCCTTCAGGTACCCCCAGAAAAAGAAATCAGGCGGTGTTAAATCCGGCGAACGTGGCGGCCCAAGTCCCTTGGAGATAACCCTGTCATCGAAGAAAAGGTTGACAAAAGCATGGAAGATTTCAATATACACAGCTGTGGTGACAGTGTCGTGAAAAAAGATGGGACCGATTATGCGACGTCGTAACATCGCACACCAAACACCAAGCTTTTGGGGATGAAGCGGCTGCTCGTGTACTGCATGAGGATTGTCAGTGGCCCACAGACGGGTGTTCTGGGAGTTGACATGATGGGACCGATTATGCGACGTCGTGACATCGCACACCAAACACCAAGCTTTTGGGGATGAAGCGGCTGCTCGTGTACTGCATGAGGATTGTCAGTGGCCCACAGACGGGTGTTCTGGGAGTTGACAGCCAGATAAGTGGAACCACGCCTCGTCAGAGAACCACGTGTAATCCAATATGCCTGGATGTTCTGCGATAAATGTTTGGAACCACTGACAATATGCAACCCTCTTTTGCTGATCTGGGGGCTCCAATTCGTGAACCACAGTGACACGATATGCATGAAGCTGAGCTGCTTTTGCAGCCCGTTGACATGAACTTTTGGACAAACCCGACTCCTGCGCAAGGACTTCTGCGGTGATGCCAGAAGTCTGTTCTTCACGTCCTGGACGGTGTTTGCTGACATTTTTGGACGTCCTCCGCCATGGACATCAACAACGTGCCCGTAGTTTCTAATTTCTTTGCCAGGTAGAAAATGCAGTGTTTTGATGGCAGCTGTCGTCCTCCAAACTTCTTCGTAAATTCTTTTTGACATGTCTTTATCGACTTTATCGACGCTATCCCGGTTTTCTGGCGCCTACAGTGCGACCAAGCACATCATTTTGATTGTCATAGAGTAAGGTACGTGAAGTTCAAATTTCGTTTTAATACGTTCAATAGTTTAAAAGTTATTTGCCCTTTTTCGGGTACCAAAGCGAGTGGGACACCCTGTATAACGTGCGTCGCTTTCGCATAGGCGTTGGCTTACCTCTGACTATACTGATTATACAGTAGTACACATCAGAGGTTGGACCACTTCTTAGAGGTTCCGTGGAGTATCCGGGATAACAGTCCCTTATTACCTTTTTTCATTGAGGTCTGATTGAATGATGTTCACAGACACTCCTTATATATTCTAGGTCTCCAATGCGGATAAAATCATACGCGTTCCAAAAGGGTTCTCAATAGGAATATGAACTTGTTTATGGTCTGGACTTCATGAATATATCTTGAATATGTGGACAAGAAATGATGAAGTGTCCGTGTTTATTGATTCCTATAACGAGACTAGGCGAGACATATGGCAAGGTACTAAACAATCCTGCGAGGGACGATTCCAGGGAAAGAGGGAAGGTAACTTTTGTGTACTGTGCGAAAAGCGAGACCCTTACCTCCATCTAGTGGCCTTAGGGAAGGGAACTTTTGTGTACTGTGCGAAAAGCGAGACCCTTACCTCCATCTAGTGGCCTGGCAAAGAACTTGAAGGTGTTCACTTCAATACGAGCGATGAGGGAGCATTTGGTGAGTAATAAGAGAGTAAATTCGAAAAGCTCACGGTGTGCTCACTTTTTACTCCCCAAACGCTCGGAATTTTCTAAGAGTGTAGATTTTATTATATAGTTGTCCTAGGGGCAGACCAAAGTTGACGACTAAGGCAACGGGCTTTGGGTATTGGGACTTGACATGTTCGTCACGAGAGGCTCGACATGCCACCTGACGAGCTCGAAACCGTTGCCCAGGATCGCTAGCACTGAAGGATGGATCTTCCAATTGCTCGAGCCGCGACCCCACTGGGTTGGGATGAACGATTTTGAATACATATGTATGTGTATTTGTTTTTTTACAATCTCCAAGAAATGAAAATGCCACTGGTGGTAGTAGAAGGGGAAATAAGCAACAATTTTTGAAGAAAAAAAAACGCTATCAGCATGTGAAGCTGGAGAACGGCGGCGTACTCTGGAACATGCACAAGGTCCGTCGTACACTGGTGAATCATTCTCGCGAGGAAGTGCGTCATGCATGAAGAAAACATGCTTCATAGCTTCAAACATAGCAAGTTGCTAAGCGTTGCACACTGGTGAAGCATGTTTCAACTCGTTCGATTCATTGAATGCAATGAAGCGTGTTTGACACGTGATTCACGAAAATGTTTCACCAGTGTAACTGCAGCATCGACCGATTTCCTGAACTAGAGATTCTAATTGCCGCACGAATTTTTCCACCAATCGATATTGACTCAATATTGCGTCTGGAGAGCGTGGAGAAGCGACGCTTGCAATTTCTGGCTAAAGGAAGTCAAGACTGTCGTCATCTATTTGATGATACTTGGATCAGATGCCAAGAGACGGTGAACATCTACGTGATTGGAAAGGAGAGTTGAAGAGCACTTCATCGAAGATAAATGCGACGTGGAGCCCCAGCTTTCTGATAAGTTGTTTACGGCGAAAGCTTGAGTACCTTTTGAAAACATTAGTAGGTAGCCCGAGCAAAAGCACGAAGAAATTAATGGCAATGAATTCGAACATGGCCATGGGGGGGGGGGGGGGGGTGGGGGGGGGTGGGGGGGGCGGTCGTCATCCCCCCCCCCCCCCCCCCCCCCCCCCCCCCCCCGCTGGGGGGGGGGGGGGGGGGGGGGGGGTGGCCCCCCCCCCCCCCCCCTCCCCCTTGGATTCGCCACTGGTTGGTCATGTGCGAAGACAAGACGCGGCAAAAAACACTGCTAATTTTTCGAAGGTCTGCCATGCGCTTCGTTAATCGTCACGGCAATGGACGGGGAACTGACGCCGAAGACAAAGGGTAATCCAAAGATCAAGACGTTACCATAAATCGTTGCTTTTTAGGAAAATGTGTTATATTGGAGGCCTCACGCTATTCGCATCGCTACCCGCCGCGCACTTTTCTGAACGTCAGTGGCCTTTGGTCAGCGTGTACCTGTTACAATGGCTATGAGCGAGCACGTGCACATGCAGGCTGTGTAGGAAAAACAAAATTTTTCTCGCGAACCCGAGGCGACAAATGAGATTTCCCGGGAGAAATATGCAAGCGGACTAAGCGAGCCGCACGTCTCTATTCCCGCGAACCTCGTTCGCAGGTTCGCAAGGATTTTCCTAGCCTGCACGCAGGTGTCATGTGTGCGCGCACATGCGACCGACACCACCATGGACCACAGTAGATTTTATTATATAGATGATATAGATTGTCCCCTCGTCTTTTCTTTTCCCAGGCAATCTCTTGTTACACTTAATTTATGAAGTTTCAGAGCTTAATTTAATTCACGACATCGATTATTGTTCACTTATCGTCTTTCTACTCTGTTCTGTGCAATGCACTTCTTATACAGAGCTATCACAAACTCAGAAAACGTCACGTTAGGGAAAAGTGTCTTCCGAAAAATAGTCTCGTCCCAGAAACAGCACACAGACTGTTGTAGGCTTCTGTAATAGCACCTAATTTATAGTTGAGCATACTGCATTGTTGTAAATCTACCAGCAGATGCTTTATGTCTTCTCATGCTCTTCTTTAGCGCAAAATATTGCTTCCTTGCTTTTATGAGTAAGATCCCACACCAATCTTGCCTTGTTTTGTCTCAGAGCATATAGACCTCAAGTTCTGATCATGTGACACTGGTATTACGTCACGGGATGCAGACACTTGAGATTAGTTCCCAGCCATGCCTTTTCAGTCAAGAGCAAACCAAGTGGCCTTCTCACGCGCGTGACAAAACCTCAGCCGACTTTGGGGATTCTCAGATAAAACTGCAGATATAAGACTCTCGACGACTCTCGAAACGCGGGATTCCCGTGAGCTCGCCCCTATGAGAATGGTGTCGAAGGAGATTCGTTTCGCCCTCAGCCTCTGGCTCTTCATCGGAGGGATTTCTCTGCCTTCCGTGAACGCATGGGAACGAGAGGCAATATTGGATCCAGAGGGCAAGGTGCATCTGGCATGGACCCCCGACCTCGATGCAAAGGTCATCGAGTTTGAATACACCGTCCAGACCCTCGGATGGATTGGATTGGGTTTCTCTCCCACTGGAGGGATGCGAGATTCTGACGTCATCACCGCCTGGATCAAGGACGGACAAGTCTTCTTCGCCGTGAGTTCTTCAAGAATCTGAATAAAATATTGTGCAATCGACATCCATTCAAAAGATTGTCCTTGCAACATCTCAGGACAGGCACGTTCCTGTGGACCACGAACTCCCAAGAGTAGACGATGTACCCAACTACAATCTGATATCTGCTGTGGAAACGGGCACGGCGACCGTCATACGTTTCACGAGGGAATTCGACACTTGCGATCTTGATCAAGACTATTACATCACGGTCAGTATCCATTATACGACGGAATGTCTGTCATTGGTTAAACCCACTGCCTAAACTAAGCCCTCGATTGACTACTCCAAAGCAATTTAATTTGTTCAACTTTGTGTGCACTTGTTGGCATGTATGTACTTTTGTTCTCGTTTGTAGAATGATACAGTTCGAGTCATATTTGCTTATGGAGATGCGGATCCCGAAGGAGAGGATCCATATTACCATGAAGGCAACAGGGGAACAAAATCCATCTATCTTCTCGACCCGCCACTCGGTGAGTATCAAATTCATCACAACCATACAGGCTATTGCGAATCAACGGACAAAGATTAGGAGGAATATGGAAGAAGGGCAGAGAATGTGTACCAAATCCGAAACAGGGAGAGCCCTTTTCCGTTCGTTACGAGGAACATCAGTAGCAATTTCTTAGGAGAAAGAAGCACAATGATCCAAATGTAAATGTACCGACAACCCTGTTTAGCAGTTTAGCTCACCTCGTACGTACGTTGCTTCGAGGAGCACCTTCACGCAATGTTCGCTCTGAATAATCCTCTTAGGTGAGATTCCCGACGATCCATCGATCAAAGAATGGGCAGCAAAAACCCAAACGGTGATTCCTGCCGTGAACACCGCGTATTGGTGTAGCATCCGCAAGACACCCGTATTGGATGGAACGCACCACGTCATCGGAGTGAGTACTGATCATAAACGTGCATTCCACACTCGTAGCAATTCATTCCTAAATATACCATTAATTGCAATTTCTACTTGCTTGTTGACAGTACCAGCCGAATGTGAAACCAGGAAACGAGAAGTACGTACATCACCTGCTCATGTACGCTTGCAACGTCCCCGAAGAGCAAGAGGGCATGTTCGACGCGTGGGCGGAACAGGATGGGGTCTTGTGCTTTGGGCCGGATAACCCGTTGGAATGGAGGCAGTGTCGCAGTGTTCTTGTCGCCTGGGCTGTGGGCGGTGAGGTGAGATAGGCTCTAGTCTTTCAGGATCGCTTTCTTCGAAGTAGCGAAGCATATTCGTAAAATGCGAACAGTTGGATTCATCCGTGATTCGCCATCGGCCGTATGATCCCGACTTGATTCTTATGTGATTTTCATCTCTTCTGACCACTGAGCTAGAAAAAGATTTTTTAACCCTATTTTCCGCCTCAACTTTCTCCTAAATGCCGTGTAAGGCATTTAGGAGAAAGCCACGGCGCAGAAATAATCTGTCCTCAGGGAAACTCGTAGGCTCCATTGAGTTTTTCCTAGACTACCTCCTATCATGCACATGAATCCCAAACTTCAGTTTAGGCAGTTAAGGGCGACTGGGAATCGGCAGTAGCAGAATGCTGGCGATTCAGGTCCTTAGTGACCCACAGAGTACCAAGCGGGCTTGTGCAAAGCATCGGTGGGGTAACGGAAGATGTACCTCGGGATCATTGGAGCAGTCCCACAGAATATGAAAGCATGCCGTGACTCACCGTCACCTCTACCTTATACCCCGTAGCTGCCCCGTGGTCGCCCTTTGCCCCCTTTGGCCTATGTTTGCCTTTTGATCGTCCACTTGGAAGTCCGATTGAACTTCTGGCCTAGGCCTGCCATAAATAGGCCAACTGTGATCGTTAAAGGGCGGCTCAGCATTATGCCCTCATAGGACCAGTCACCCCAGCAAGGCAGACTCGGAACTCGAGGTCTTTTCAGGAACTTGGGACCAAGACCCGCGAAAGATAGCAGTCCTAGCCAAACGCCATAGGGCCTTTGAAATTCTCCGAAGCATAATTGAACTTGCTGCACCGTTTCTGCCTTCTCACATCACCAAGAAAACCGAGATGGAAAATGGGGAATATCACATAGAGCATGCGGGAGAGCTGCCTTGACATAAATCCAGATAACTTCTAAATCCATCCCATCAACACACCGTCTCCATGTCTATTTTAGCTCGGCGCTTCTGATCGATGAAGGCTCTCTCCGAAATGCGCAAGCGATGACACTCCGAAACAAACCTTTCTATGGTGGTTTTCATCCCACCGACAGGATTTATTTCGTGCCGGTTTCGGTGCCTTTGTTCACCAGTGGCGTAAATGTGCAGATAACGAAGACCATGCTGGAAGAATACGTTGCTCCCAGGAGAACTTGAAATATGTACCATGTAATTTTCAATTCTCCTTAATGAGAAAATAATTATTGCCATTCCTTTTGTCGTTACATTATTTTTGAACTGCCGTTCGCACTTGAACACTTCAAGAAATGGTTGGGAACTGTTGGAAAAAATATTGGCTGTTATCTAACAAAATCGACGATACTCATTATATTGGGTTTCATCTCAGCTTGGTTCTGCAGTCCACCGATCGTGGCAGTCAATCCTTTTGAAAATATTGCCCAAGGAATGCCCTCTTCTTCTGATAAACAGGGTGATACGTACCCGGAGAACGTGGGGTACGTCCTTCCTGCAAGAGGGATGTACTTCATGATGGAAATGCATTACGACAACCCAGAATTGGTGTCTGGGGTCCAGGATGACTCCGGTGTGACCATCTACTACACTGACGTCCTTCGACCTTTGGAAATGGCCACCATGGAAGTCGGCTCCGCAGTCGACCCTTCGCAGGTCTGTCGATTGGCGTTTCCATGTTCGTGCCTAGTTGTATGTTGATCGGTTTCCATCCTGAGTAAAAGCAGACGATGAAACTCATCCAAGTTACGAGACAAAAAAAATCATTAGATTTGTTGAGATGATTCTCAAAGAAGTTTGAGAGAATATATTTTAATTGAATCAGTGTCGTAGCAAAAAAAAATGAATGTCATCATGAAAATTTCTACTTCGGTCGTCTTTCCTTGTATGGTGATAATCAACTATTGCATTGTAGATAGCTGTTGCTTATTTGCACTTTTGCTACCCATAATAATGTACTGCAGTAGAGTGGATACATGATATGATGGGATAAGGGAGACTGCAGTTTAGGGGATAACTATTTTAAATCGTTCACTAAATATTTAAAGATTTAAATGTATACCTTTTTGAGAATCTAAATGGTCCATCCTTCAGGCAACAAGTCAAAGTCATCTCGATTCAAAACGATAGCTTATTCCAGTGCATTGAGATTTCAAATGTGACAAAAGGGTCCGTGACTTCATGACCTCTGACAAAAAAGTTCACATGTGCCCTCTGCTCTCTACTCAAACTGAAAAGTTTCCTTCACCGGAATGAAGCCACGTATTTTCAAAGAATGAGAGAATAGAGAATGCCATGGTGAGAAAGTAGATTGCACAATTAAGAATAAATATGTATCTTTCTGGGGGAAATTTTGGAAGTTGTCAGTGGAGGGTCGGCGAGGATGGTCTGGAAACTTTTCTACCTCCCCTGCCATACTTAGTAAATATACCATAACGTTTCCACAAACTATGCGAGCATTACTTCAATATATTTGTTGCTTAACCCTTGTTGCGAATCAAAACGATTCAACTGCGCGGTTTCGCTTTAATGAACAGATAACCCCAGCGAGACAGAGCCTATTCTACAATATCGGTCACTGCAGCCCCTCATGCACGCAAGCCACGTTGCCAACTGAAGGGATCCACGTCTTCGCCGGAATTCTCCATTCGCATTTGATCGGTGAGTGCTCTTGCAAGGATGTTTTTTTGGAACTTATTCCGACTGATTCCCATAAATCCACGATTGAATGCAGGGAGACAAATGCGAGTCCGGCTATTCAGAAACGGCCAAGAAATGCCCTGGCTTCAGAACGACGACAATTACGACTTCAATTTCCAGCAGATGCGGGTGTTCAGGGAACCAATCACCCTTTATCCAGGAGACCATCTGGTCATGGGCAAGTTCCCTCTCGGTTTCACTACCAATATTTCATCTCACGGAGAAATTTATTACTAACTTTTTTTTTCAGAATGCAATTTTGATTCATCGAATCGAGATTCTGTGACCATCGGTGGTTTCAAAACCACGGAGGAGATGTGTCTGGCGTTCCTTCAGTACTATCCAGCCCAGAATGTTGCTGCTTGCCTGAGTATCCCCGATTATGATGCAATCAAAAATCTGTTCGGCATAACTGACCTCTGGTTTAACCCGTGGGTTTTGTTCCCCTGCTCCCTTTGACATATATTGTAATATCCAGTTGTCCAGATCAACCAACCAATTTATCAATAGGGAGAACTACGAATATATGGTGGGTGATCAGACCATGGTCGACTACCTGAATGGATTTGATTGGTCCGGAATCGACATGGATGACTACCAGCATCTCCTTCGTTACGATCCCCATTGGACGGTATGCCTTGATAACAAAGGGGAATTAGTAATCGTAAGTTCCTTCCACAATTCACAAAAACATCTAATAATAATCGTACAAATTGGGCTTATAGCTTATATAATGTTGGTTATTTTCCATTTTCAGCCTTTTGAACAAACTTCAATCTATCCAGAAGGAGTGGACCCTTGGATGCCTCCCGAACGAGATTGTCCCTCTGGGATATGAAGTCTGTCATTTTGGCCATTCATGCGAGAAAGAAAATATGACATTTTCTTCGATTTTCACTGATTCCACTTTTCTACGTGCAATAGGTGAACAAATAAGTGCCTTATCCGCAGACTCAAACCCACCAAACATTGAGTAAAACATGGCAGTCTGGGTTCGCCGCAAGGATAACTTGCTTCCTAAGTGGCATATATACTGTATCTTACTTCTGTTACAATTCACAAGGGATAAAGAGTACTGAAGAGAAAATCATTAGCAGATTCATTCAGGTCCAGTCAATTACTTGCCACCTTTTTTAAATACAAATTGTCATCAATTCGAACGATCGGACGATCAATATCGTCGCAGTCTCATTCATTTTCGTCCTAATTGCACCTCACCAGGCAGCGGCATTAGTTTTCAATAAACACTATTACAACATTAAGCTTTCAACATTAATTAAGCTTAGCACTCCTTGTCTTCGGTAGTATTTCCTACTAGAGTCGCGATTTTTCCCATCTGATGATGGGATCTGTGTACAGGACGCACCCGCCACTTTCGAGAGCTTCCCTCCCCCCCCTCCCTAAAGCTGCAAAAAAGGCGAAGGTGTTACAGCACGAGCTCTCAAATCGTGTACAGCCTTGCTACATTTCGTTTGAGAGCTCTGCGACCGGTGTGGGAAATGCTTGGCGTATGGACGCAATCAAGAAATGACTGCGAACTCCGCAGACGGTCGCGGTGCGGCTTTGCCACAGCTCTTCGCAGTCAGTGTGTATCGGCCTTGACCGCTTCTCTTCCCGCCCGATGCAACACCTCTCCATCTGAGAAGATTCTTCAGCATGCACTACACAAATGCAGGAACTTCTGGAGGGAGGGTTTTCGGAAACCGCTCGTCCCCCACAAGCGCGCGGCTGACACGGGAAGGACAGCACTAGGAAGAGGATCAGTTGTTTTCGAATGTTCTGGAGTGACGAGAGCCGCTTCACGCTCTTCCAAAGCGATGGCAGCGTGTGAGTTTTGAGGCGTCCACACAATACGATCCATGTCGTGTTGCACCAACAGAGAAGGCGAGGGCGAACGCCAAATCCTATTTCTTGCCTCCACAACTCAGTTGTTTTTTGGAAAGGCTGCGACTCTCCATTCTTCGTCGTGTCTGGATACTTTTAATGAGGACAATTTACGAAGATACTAACAGCCTTCTGGGGATTGAGGCTGCAAATATGGCTAAACGAATGTAATCCAGAATTATTACTACTACCAGGCGTTAGAGATGTAGATTTGAACAGGGTAGGCAGTACCTAAGAAATCGGAAGCAATTGTAGCTCAAGTTCCCATGAAAGTCCCACATCGTTGGGTTGGGCCTTTCGATAGCCATAACCTGCAGTAGTTTTTAATCATAGAATAGAGAGTATAACTAGAGGCGACACTCCGCTCGAATCTCATTTATTGAGTTATAGATGTCGCTGTCGATCATCCACCTAATGTTTCATCAAAAACTCCTCCATGACCAAGCATCCGACTCAACGAGCACGTACGTTACGTTGAGGGATCACTATGGGGTCGAATCTCCGAACGAGTCGATTCTCGATTCCGCTGCCACGAAGCACACCTCATGGACGTGTTGATAACATCCCACCAGATGTCTCTGTAATATTTCGACCCTTCCCTACCCCTCGGAGTGTCGCCTCTAATTATACTCTCTACTCCATGTTATTAGTTCTTGACAATTATTCTTGACACATGCAATTTAAATCTGCCGTGATATTGGCTACAATATCATTTCCCAGGTAGCAAAACGCTGGAGGACTGCATGACATACCCCTGAGATGAAGGCGATTTCTCATTAACTCTGAAACCGGCAGCCAGACACCATTCGTGTCACACTTGCCACTGGAGACCAGACGACTTGGTGGAGCGATGGGTGCCCTTTCTTGGTGGATGACCTTGTTAAATTTTCTCCGTGACAACCGTGCCACTTCGACAGCAAAATCCCTCTTCATCGACCACGTCATGTCATTCTTAAAAAATATTGTCACGGTAAGGGAGTAAAAGCATGTGACCCCGATTAAAGGGGGGGGGGGGGTGATTAACCCCTGAACTATACTTATTGCCCCCGCTAGATGTCGCTAGCGAGCCCCGGTGATCGTAAACAGTAGGCGTACATGAAACTAAAAGTTAAATTTCCAACTCGGAATGGAATAGCCAGAAAAGCCTATTTGTGACCCTAGGCTGGTAGTGGGAAAGTAGAGTTGAAGTGTCATGACCCGGAGCCTTGAAGCACTTCACGACCTGGAAATAATCCCCAACCCGAAACGGGCTCGACCTAAGCCCAGAAAGTACGGTCGGCGAGTAGCAACAGCTTTCCACGACTCCTAGACACGGAGTTATCTGTTCGGGACCACCGACCTTCCCGTCTTGAAGGCTGCACGACCAGGAAGTAGAATAGTGGAATCCAGGCACGACCCCAAGCCCTGAAGAGGGAGATACGAACCGTATTCCCTCCACGAATTCTCCCTCCCTTGATCACCGTATCTGCGGGTTGGAACCGAGCGGACCGTAAGAGAGCTCCGTACCCAACTTGTATTGCTCACTTACGCTCCGCGACCAAGAGACGTAGTTCCCCGGAACAGGAAATTTCCCCCCTTAGTCCACCGCAGCTACGAGTCAAGACTAAGCGGGCCGGGACGACGAGCAGGAGAAATACCAGCCGCCTAGCGCAGGCAAGTACTGTCCTAGAGCTGGCCGAAGCGCGAGGATGCGTTGTTTCCCTCGCGGTACCGTTGTGGAAGAGACGGAGATTTTCCCAACCTCAGACACAGCCTGACACCCTTCGAGGAGCAAGGACCCTTTTCGTCGCCCGTCGAGGAGCGTTTTCAATCCCCAGACGACTTCGCCCCGCCGAGAGTCGAGTGTGGAAGCGTCGGAACTGTTTGTCGATTGTTGGTGATGTACTGTACATTTGTAATAAGGAATAGAAATACCGGATTTATTGAATTGTTACCGATTTCCCATGGTGATCTTTTTTCCAGCCGAACCCTACAACGGGCTACAACCGAGTAGCACCGTAACGATATTGCAGGAAAAAATTATAAGCCCATCCTCTAAGACTCTCCAAAGAGCAATCTCCGTTGACAGTTCCATATCGATCTTGAAAAAATCGGAATGTATCGTGCTTGTGCATCAATTTACAAGCATCAGTTAAACACTTCATTTTTTAAATGTCAAACTTCGCCTAAGTTTTAAAATTGATCCCAAAATATCCCCGACAGAAACATGGGAACAAATCTCAAGTTGGGTAATTGTTAAAAGTTTAAATATCTCACTGCATGAAGAATGCCATGACGTGGCCAACGAAGTGGCATTTACGCCTTGTCACGGAGAAAACATAACAAGGTGAAGAAAGGGCATTCATCGCTCCTCCAAGTCGTCTGGTCTCCAGTGGCAAGTGCGACCCGGTCTGGCAGCCGGTTTCATAGTTGGTGGGCGATCGCCTATATCTCTCAGGTAGGGCCTTCAGGCCTCCGGCGTTATGCTGCTTGGGAGGTGATATTGTAGCCGCCGATAACACGGCAGTTGAAGAATTTAATAAGAGTGGTTGGTGGTGGTTATCTAAGGACTTCATTACTTGAAGTCGATAGACACGCAGCACGAACCACTGCGAAGATGCGACAGGAAACGACTCGTCCAAATGCAGCGAACTTTTTACGGTCGCAGTTGGGGTCCCCCTAAAAACGTCGTGGATCTCGTGGAGTGTCGTTTAACGGTTTGCTTTCACGAATCTCGAAAGGGCTCTTTCGTCGTGACACTTTCCTATCTACTACTCTGCGACGTAGACTTCGGATCATCGGTCGTTATATCGATTTCGCTGATTGATTTCGCACTCGCACGGCTACCTTAGGACACCCCAACTTCACTCGATTCACCTTGTCTTTCGCGAGTTAGAACAGATTCATGACGCATGATTCCTGTAATGGATTCTCTGCACTTAATACGTTACCAACCCAGTACATAATAGGTAGATGCGTCATAGGCCATATTGTGTCCGAGTACTTTCGGCAAGACAGAGTAAGAGTAAAAATCGAAAAGGGAATAGCTAAACTGCAAATTGATTGCAGGATTGTGACGAGACTACAGCACAAATTGACACATTAAGGCCATTTTATCTACCACTCTCTTCCGAGTTTGTCCGAGACTTCATGACTCTAACGCACAGTTTCATAGATTTGAATATCTCCGACACTTCTTTCATGGTCGGTGACGCGCAATACAGGAAATTCGCTATCTACTTTCCATGCCGAGACCTTAGCAGAGGGAAACGCGAGGCGAGACGGAGAGAAGCAACGAGTTGTTTAGGGAGTGTACGATTATCTTCGTTTAAATCGAAGGATTTCATTGGATCCACAACCACTATCACACGACCGGTAATCTCGCTCCGTTCCTCAGATAGACCCGTTCTTTTTTTAATTACCAGGCTTCTATCTTCACTTGTAGGTGTCTGGGTTGCTCATTGCGACAAATCTGAAGCAACATTCGGGATTTTTTAAATTGTACATATATACGAATAATTTATTCCAGTAGACCAAGGTGTCACGGAGCGAGTCGCTAAGATGGCGTTGAAGGCGATTCAATTTACCCTGGGCATCTGGTTCGTCTTCGGGGGGATTTCTCTACCCTCTGCGAACGGATGGGAACGAGAGGAGACGTTGGACTACGACGAGAAGGTGCATTTGTCGTGGACGCCTGACGTCCGTGCCGGGGTCATCGAGTTCGAATATGCCGTGAGGACGCTCGGGTGGGTGGGGTTGGGATTCTCTTCGAGCGGAGGGATGCGGGATTCGGATGTCGTTATGGGTTGGGTCAAGGACGGAAAAGTCTTCTTCACCGTGAGTTCGACTGAAATTCGAGAGAATCGCCGAACGCGGGTAGTTCTTGTGGACTGGCGTGATCGTTCTGCATGTTCTTGCAGGACAGGCACGTGGGATCGGGATACGAAGTCCCCGAAGTGGACAAAGTGGACAACTACAAGCTCGTATCTGCCGTGGAAAATGGATCGGCGACCATCATTCGGTTCAAGAGGGCAATCGACACCTGCGACCTCGACCAGGACTATTACATCACGGTCAGTGATGTAATATTCGTCAAATAATGACATCTTAGGTGAAATCTCCGCGATCAAACGTATGCAAAGACGGAGGAAAGCTCTGTCAGAAACCTTGATGAGGAAACTTAATTAGAGGTTTATCACTGGTTGTCTGATCTTGATTGCCCTTTTCTTGTGCGTAGGGCGACACAACCCACGTGATATATGCCTACGGAGATTCAGACCCTGCTGGAGACGATCCACCGTATCACGGCCCGGTCAACAGGGGATCGAAGTCCCTGTATCTGCTCGACCCGCCACTTGGTGAGGATGACAATTTTCTCAGGAACTAAATGAGTCAACGTACATATCAAGGCGTTAGGCCAATTGAGCCAGAAAATCCGATAATAGAGGGTTAAAGCATGCCGATTTGAGAGTTCGAGGCGTGAGCACGAGTCACCGAGATAGAAATTGTATCCGAGAGGACCATTCTTAACGGTAGTCGTGCATTTCGGCGGGATTTTTACGAGGCGAGTCTTCGCAGGTGAAATCCCTGCCGATCCCTCGATCAAGAAATGGCTCGTGACCAGCAACATGACGATTCCTGAAGCGGATACAACTTACTGGTGTTCCATCCACAAGACGCCCGAGGTGAACGTCACGCACCACGTCATCGGGGTGAGTCACGACTCCGTGTTTCGAAAAATAAATATCACGTGGCGAGTGATGCCGACCGGAGATGGTTGCGGCCACGTTTGGATACTCCGTAATAGACCAAAACTCGGCGCCTTCGCAAGTTTTCATTTCCGTCTCCGCGTCGGCAACACTGGGAAACAAGCGCATCTTCCATTTACTGTTCTTTGTCGCGTCCACGAGAGCCATTCTTCGTCCATTCTTTTAGGTATCCTATGTTCATGATTCTTCCCGGGCAGGAAATGGTAACTTAGGCTTCCATCAGCGTTCTATCTGGTACACTGGTATTGGTTCGTCTTTCAAATCCATTAACGCGATCTTCGAAATACCTCGATACTCGAACCCACTGCGTGAGACTAAGAGAAGTTACCTGGTGAATGACGATGAGCAATGACATTGAAAAGTATTCGCTGGATGCAATAACATTAGAAGGCGTTTTTTAAGTATGGCGTCTCTCATGACTGGGGGGATTCGCGCATAAAGAGAATGGGGCAAGTCATCTCTTTATAGGATAGAGCATTGCTCCTCCCAATTCTTCTCAATATGAGAATGATGAAGCGATGAAGCCGAAGTAAAACATGCTATAAAATACGACGGAGTTCTGAGGTGAGCAAAAACGTACAATCGTACGAACGTGTAGTTCAATCCTTAAATCAAACTTCACCTTCAAAGGTGGTACAGGTTTTCCTGAAAGCCACTCGCCAATGAAAGGATTTCCATGGAATCATGGGCCTCAGTGACGTACATGAGCATTATATGAGTGAGACACTACAAATATATTTGTTTTTCATTGAATTTACTACAACGGGAAACTGCAAGATACTTGAAGTTTTGACTCCCATTGCCTCTGCATTCTCCTAAGTGCTGCTAGCTTTATCATCAGTTGTGCTTCTTGGGAATAACCCATGACAGAAACCCTTTTCGATTAGTACCTCATGATACAACTTATCATGTCACGGGTCAATGTATGCTATTTATCCTGTGACAGCAAATATCAAGTTCGATTTTCATGAGTCCATGGAAAAGGCAAAGACCTAGACCGAAAGAAACATGATGACAGGCCTTTCAGGCCGCCTGGATGCTTCAAGTGGAAACTTCAGACCATCGGTTACTTACTAAATAATCATTCTTGGTCTGAAGAAATCCCTCTGGCTGAGAAAAAGAACTTTCGTAGTAAAAACAGTCTCTATCTGCATGTCTCCATAAGAAACGCATTGAAGCTTGCGCACTTGACTCCCCCCGGCTCATTTGTATGCTTCTTGCCACCAGATGTCTTCAACTTAATGCACCCAGCGAATAGGAATGATAGACAGTGTGACCTTTAAAGTTGGGAATTTTCTTTTTCTTAAGTGAAAATGGATGAAACGGTCATGCTTTCATTAAATCGAGTTATCACATAAAACAAGGAGGAGATGGAACTGCGACTTGTGAATTACGATGAACCTGGTGAACTGGGTTCCACGGAGCAGTGAAAATAACAGGGGATCGGAAAGCCATCAACGGGAACAACCTCAGCCAACTTATTCATTTACAAATGAGTACCCAGACAGAAACGGGGCATTACCTGAAGTCGTGCCTCGAGGCGAGACCAGGAATGGCAGATAGACGAGACGACGGGATGGGATGGACATCGGACGGAGGATGGGAGGGAAGGGGGGGGGACGCACATGTGTTCAACCAGACAGAAGGAGAATGAGTCTCTTTGAAAGGCAGAGACGGAATATGTCCGTCTCTTGCCGTTCGTGCTTTGCCCTGGAGGGGGAAAACGAAAAAAAAAACAACATTTTAGGATCATTTTAGGTTATTTGGCAAGTCCAGACGAATCGCGCATTTCGATGCGGTGACGAGAGCACGAATCGCTTGTCCCCATCACATGCGTCCTTAAATGCTCGTCTTGTGGCTGAAGAATAAATTTACATTGGTACCCCAGTGATGCAGGGACCGGGGTTCTCCAACCCGCACCCATGGTTGCAAATAAGCCGATTTCGCTCTTGATGGAAATGGGGGATTTTGTCGGAATTCATTCGGATTACCAGGTGGAGAAAATAGTTTTAATGCAATGCCCTCGCTACCAACTGACTAAAGCTAGATTTAAAAAAAATGCTGTCTTCCAAAGGTAAGCCGCTTGTAATCATAAAAAAACCACAGGATTCAAATCGAACCGGAAAATCTTCCTTCCTTTGAAAACTGATTTTGATTTTTAGTGAGAAAGCAAATCACGCATCCTAAATGTACGATTAGGAATTCGCGAGGAAGGGAAGCTTAAAGAAGTTTATTACTTTTGCCATAAGTCAATATCACTTTCTTCATTTCGAACTCAAATCTTAAAATCCATGTAGAGCTATCTGTATGCGAACCGAGGTGCTTATGGAGTTCTATGCGATTTGGGCAGGAAAATTCCAGTTGTTCCGGCTCATTTTTAAAGGATGTGGACTAAGAAAATATAGGATCCTCCAGAATGAACTGAGACCGGACAGGAGCTCATTCGGATCTCTGGCATTGAGGTTTCCAGGCCTCCAATTTCTTCAGTAATATCACGAAAGATTGCGAAGCTAGACATCATTCTACCGCGAGCAAGGGCTGGCGAGATCTCCACTGTGGAGACCCGAACATCGCGATTCTCGGGTATTGCCGTGTCTCTTGTGCACGAGGCGGTCGCACTCATGATCTAAGTCACATCCCGCATTCGAGTTGCTATCGTTGATGTCAGTCTCAGCTATCAGTGGAATCGCGCATATGACTTAGAATATTAAAAATCGACTGTTCATTACCAATTATCTCCCAAGTTTTCAGTGAAATCTATATCGCTTCCAAAAATTCCTGCCTCAATCTTTGAGTGGATTACCTGCCTTTCCTCCTCCTTTCTGTACTATTTCTACATACACGTATAGAAAAGGCACATAATTGTGCCTTACAGACAGCTTTTACTCAATAAGGAGGCTGCGTCAGCATTACAAGGAATTATCAATAACTCCAATATCCATTCAATAATGATCCACTCGATCGAAAACGAATCAATCATTACTCGATAGAGTGATTATAACACCCACTGAAACTCGTTCGACCAGTACGAGCCGTACCTGGATCCCGAGAGCGAGGACTACGTGCACCACCTGATTCTCTACGCCTGCAGCATACCGAAGGAGCTGGAGGCCAAGTTCGATTCGTGGGCGAGACAGGACGGGGTCTTGTGCTACGGGCCGGATCATCCCAGAGAATGGATGCGCTGCCGACTCGCTCTTGTGGGCTGGGCTGTCGGGGGGGAGGTACGTGAGCCTCAAGGTTTTCTCATTTCTTCCTCTTATTCAGATAATTCATGTATGTTTCCAAATCTATGCTATAGTCTGCTGAACGCGACAACTGATGCCTACCCTTACCGGGAAATCGACTAAAAAATATGTCATTTCGTTTATGGGGACAGGGGGAGACCTATCCAAAGAACGTGGGATACGTTCTCCCTGCTGGCGGAATGTTCTTCATGATGGAAATGCATTACAATAACCCTGAAAAGGTGACCGGTATTTATGATAACTCCGGCATCACTGTCTTCTACACGGACGTCCTTCGACCTCTGGAAATGGCCAACCTGGAAATCGGCGCCGCCGTCGGCCCTACACAGGTGTGTCGACTTCCAATTCTATATTCAGATCATATTCCTTTCCGTAGGCCTATAAGATCAAGGTTTTTCAAGCCTTCAAATTGACGCATTAAGCCATCCAGAAGAGGATGGGGAAAAACCCTTAATGGGAGATTTGTGGACAAAATTCCCAGTGCATCTCCGGTGAACACATTCCCAATACGATCAGCGCTGGGGGAAGTTTGAGTCGTCTACTCGTTGAGAATCATTATCAATGTGATTGTCAGTTGGCTTCGTCTTAAAAAAAAATAACGATTCTGAACTGGATTTGTTGTCCGCGGTCAGTGAAATGCTTTTAGCTCAGCCAAAGGGTGTTTGGATGTGGGATTCCTTGAATCCGAAAGACAGGCGTGACTCATTGTACATTGAGTCCTCCTTCTTACTTCCTAAAAGGACCGATTCTTTTTTTGAGGGAAGTACTTTTCTTTCAGATGAGAGATTTCTTGATTTGTATGTTATATATCTTAATGTCCTTGGCAAGCATGCGATTAACTACCCTGTATTTACGTTAACATTCACTGATTGCCAGTCATGATTCTTTGTGATCGAAGCATTATGCATCTTGGAGGCTTAATTAACGAACAGATCATCCCGGCGAGACAGAATCTTTTCGTCAACGTCGGTCACTGCAGCTCCGAATGCACAGCAACCGCCATCCCGCCAGGCGGGATTCACATTTTCTCCGGCTTTCTCCATTCTCATTTAATCGGTGAGATTCCATGAAAGTTTTACAACCACCCTTGATCATTGTGAAACGATTCAGACGTAATTTTCAGACTGTTCATCTGAGAATCCTAACATGCACGATCGAATGCAGGAAGGAAATTGCGAGTTCGGCTGTTTCGAAACGGCAAGGAATTGCCCTGGCTCCTGAACGACGACAATTATGACTTCAATTTCCAGCAGGCCCGAGTGCTTCGGGAACCAGTCACTCTGTATCCTGGAGATCAACTCACCTTGGGCAAGTTCTTCCTAAAATATGATTTGATGGAACCACCCAAGATTGCATTACCTAGCATTTCGAATTTTTTACTCGTTTCCAGAATGCTACTACAATTCGTCGAATCGGAAGTCGGTGACCGTAGGTGGTTTTGGAACCCAGGAGGAAATGTGTCTGGCATTTCTTCACTATTACCCAGCTCAGAAAATCGCCTCTTGCCTCAGTCTCCCCAGTTACGAGAAGCTCTTCGCTCTGCTCCGCATCTCCAACGTCCGGCTCGAACCGTGGGTGCTTCTTTCCATTTATGATCCCACGCCATGTAGGTCCTTGGCTGTTTCCGGGACGAATGCTTCTCAACAGGAAAGATGGCTACGAGTACATGGTGTCAAACAACGGGAAGAACCAGACCTTGGTGGACTATCTCGATGAGCTGGATTGGTCGCATTTCGACATCGAAGGCTTGCAGCGTTTACTTCGTTACGATCCTCACAACGAGTTATGCAGGGCCAATGATGACAATCTCATCCTCGTGAGGGCCTTCTTTAAGTGTTTAACCGCTTCACAATCCGCATTAGCCAAAGAGGGACTTTTCGTAGCAATAATTTCTTCTATAAATACAGGCGCACAATAAACCAAGTTAAACTCAGCAAGTTAAACCTCTGTGGAATATGATATTAAATTTTAGAAGTACCTAGATCACGCAATTTATGGCTGTATTACGAAATGAAAGATTATCTTTTAGATCTTTAAAAAAATAAATTTTTTCCTACTTCCTATAAACTGTAACGGTCGAGCAATAAGACTCACATAGGGATGAGAAAGGGCGCTTCTTTTTACGGAAGGCCTCTGAAAAAAGCGCTTCATGTCTCTAAAGAGTCCGAATGTTGAAACCTCTTTTAATTATAATATCTTTAAGAATACATGGACTCCTTTGGAGTGGGAGGGGGAAAGGAGGGAAAGCGTTGTTTGCTTCAACGCCCCTCTATCCTGTCTATTTTCAGACTGCCCAAGATCATGGGACCATCTTGAGGCTTCTTCGTACACTTGTTTCTTGAAAAGTAGGTATCTCTCTCGTAGCATCTGGATGCCAGGAGCCGATCTGAATCAATTTTATATTCCAGGAGCAGGCTTCGTCAGAAAACTACGACCAATTCATCTAAAATGGCGGAAATTGAGGGGGGCCTCCTTCCTGAAGAAAGTTATCATTCCCATTTCCAACGAGATGGTCTTGAGGGTCTAAGTGAACAACTGACAGGAATTTGAAGGATAAGATGAGAAAATTTTCAGAAGGCATTCGCCGAGTCGTGAATTTAAAAGACCCTAAGAGGGTACCTGGAGGATCCACTATCATAATCTAATCCAAAAATAGAATGGGAAATGCTTGTCGCATTAAAAACTCAGATGGTGTCAAAAAAATGTAAACCTTCCCGTTTCCTAAAATAACTAAAATATCCCGTTCTATAATGCAAACCCTCGTATCTTTTTTCAGCCCCGGAATGCAACGACGAGCTATCCTGACGTCGTGGACCCCTGGATGCCTCCCAAGCGAAATTGCTCCAATTGAAATACGTCATTTGGCGCTTTCGGAAAGTGAGACTCTGGTTAGAATCGTTTGAGGAATGTGCTTCAACGAGCTCCGTTTCCCACTTCCCTTGTGAGGTATAGATGACTCTTAAGCTATCCTTTCTTGAACATGAGAATCCAGAATCGCCAGCCATCAAACTTGTTGACGACTCTCGACAACGGCGAGATCGGCGGTCGGCGAAGACCGACCGTAGTAACAAGGATCCATCAGGTGGAGAAGTTAGAGCATCTGTTCGAGAATGAATCAGAACTGAAACAAAAGGGAAACTCTTACTTTCCGGAAGCGCCCGTTGTGCCGTGCAAAGGAGCCAATCACGACGATTTCATTTTTACATTCACTTCTGACTGTTAACAGCTGGCAAACAAAGCCAGCCTTTTATTCACTTGAACAACGCTGGACTTGTGCATGCACCAGATGAGCAACAAGACTGCTCGCAAGTGTGGGAAACATGGTTACCAGGATGTAAAACAGGCAACGAAATGTCTCACGCAGCATTCGGCTTTTGACTTTGATGTGATTTCCATTTCATAATATATTCCTTCACGTGCCTCCAACCATTTCCACGTCCCTCACTACACACATAGTACGGTCTACGTATGCCTATTTTGGTCACTGAAGCAGCTTTCAGGGTTTCCTGAATTCTTTTATGGTTGGTGATACAGAAAGTGTACCACCTTCTTTTAATGTATGGTGGTACAATTAATGTACCACTTGTCTGAAATAGTGTTTTGAGGCAGCATGGTGGTTTACTTCCAGAATCACCTTGTATTACCGCTGCTAGTAGTTGTTTCTCACGGCCAACAGATGGCAGGAGTATTTTTTAATGATTGTGTTCATTTATGTCAAATAAATGTGTATTATTACAATTTTTTCTGAAATAAAAAACATACGCGGCAAGGGTTTTTTGCCTGAAATTTTTGTGCATGAAAGAGTTAAATACCGGCACTTGTACTCTACAAAACGTATTGTAAAAACGTGCAATAAGAGCGACATCTTTCGTCTGAGACATCGAGACTGTCACTGAAGGGAAACTGGATCATTTGAGTCGCCCTGACGACTGAAAAATGAAATCCCATATTCATGCCAATTTACCTTATCTATTTAAGCTTAACTAAAGCTTGATTGAACATCTGTCCCTGCACAGAATTAAATGTATGCAAGTTCAAACGTACATCCTTTGGAGGCACATTCGATTCTCTGAATTTACTGTGGTGCGAATAAACATTTGTTGCAAAGCGATCGTACATTTCTCAATTCATTCAGGAATGGTCAACGTACTAGCAGCCGAAATCGTTGCAGTCTGTATAAAAGTTAGCATACAAAGTCCACTCAACCACGTACAAGATCGGAGACTCACTGACGCTTGCACGCAAAGAAAAGTTGAAGGACGGGCGTTGTGTGATGATGGAGAGGACAGAGCACCGATGGAAGGAAATGAACACGGTTGACGAGAGGGAAGGACACCTTGGCAACTTCTGGTTTAACCCGTGGGTTTGGTTCCCCTGCTCTCTTTGACATCTGCTGCAATATCCAGTAGTTCCGATCAACCAATCAATTTATCAATAGGGAGAACTATGAATATATGGTGGGTGATCAGACCATGGTCGACAACCTGCATGGATTTCATTGGTCTGGAATCGACATGGATGGCTACCAGCATTTCAACGAACCCCATTGGACTTCCCGTCCAATGGGGTTCGTTGATAACAACCATTGATAACAACGGGGAAATAGTAGTCGCAAGCTACTTTTCTCCTCTCACAATTCACAAAAATATCTAATAATAATCGTACAAACCAGGCTTATAGCAAGGGTTATTTACAATTCTGGTTATTTTCCATTTTCAGCCTTTTGGATGAACTTCTACCTATCCCGAAGGAGATTGCCCCTCCTTTGATATGAAGTCTATCATATTGGCCATTCGCATCAGAAAGAAAATATCAGCGATGACATTTTCTTCGATTTTCACTGATTCCACTTTTTCTACGTGCCTGAACAATAAAGTGCCTTATCCGCAGAAACAGACCCACCAAACAAGGGGCAAAGCATCGCAGCCTGGGTTCACCGCAAGGTTAACTATCTTCCTAAGGGGCATACAATGTAGGTTTAACAGGTTTCGAGACTGGGCGTATCGCAAAGATCGGCGTGAGTCACGGCACTGTTGCTGTGTCATATTCAAAGTAGTGGACCAATCTTGTTAAACACTTTTGCCAACGTCTGAAAAGTTCCTCGAAGCAGGACTGGAACCTGTTTTTAGCAACCTCATTCAATGCCGCCACCAAAGGTAAAAGACGCATGGCGAAGGATCGGGGAGATGGGGAACGTGACAGTACAAACGTGACAGTACAACCGTGACAGTGTTCGCCAAGTAACAGATCTCCATCAGCGATCGGTACGCTGGTGCATAGGAAGGCGAGTCCAATTCGATGCTGACCGCCGGCTGACACCTCAACGTTGAACGTGGCGCAACCTAGTAACTGCCACTTGAGTCTCAGCGCATGAGCTCTTAGATAGCACATAAGGTGGGATCCGAGGTACGCATAGCAATGTTTGCTTTTGGTATGCAAGGCAACGTTCGGTGACGGTGACCCGAGTCTCGAAACCTAATAGTATATACTGTATTTGTTACAATCCATTTGTTACAATGTGCTGACAAGGAGATCTAATCCTCTCCATGAGAGAAGGTAACAGATATTCGCCTGTCTTCTAATAAAATTGCACGCATCGTACAGTAAGGTCTGGCGGTTTCACGCACAAAAATGAACCTTCAAATTATAATTTAATTTATATTTGAGATTGAGCTATGCGTGGGAAGGTGCGGAAAAACGAACCTAATTAATCTTCCATGAGAAACCACGTGAGAGAGGGCTGTATTCGGTGAAGACTTTGATGATCTTTATCGAATCGCCAGATTCACGAATCATGCAACATATCGCGCAACAAAGAACAATTGTAGAGGTCTTAACGGAATTTCCTTTTAATTAAACGAAGGAAAGGCGTCGAAAAGTGACTTGCGACTTGGAAGTCGTGACCTCGAGTAGGACTCTCGGCAGGGTACGGAGTGACTCCCGGTCAGCGTCTATTCCCCATGCTCCCAGTTCCTCGCATTCTCATTCCCATCAGCCCTGTGAGTCGCTGGGTCATTTTTCATTAATCTGATGCACTCCTAATCTCGTTTTCTTTCTTCCGAATCCATACATGCATGCGATGTCGAAGACAGAGCGTTTCACATTCATAGTGTACGAGAGATTCCCGATCGCATTGAGTGCAAATCAAATCCAGTTTATGTAAGGAAACAAAACGCATGGTGGTTTCTACTTCGTAAGCCACTCAAGTACGTAACACAAGTACAGTTATTTCCAACGTCGCCCACACACACGCAGGTACCACCGCCCCTCGGTTCGAGCGATCTCGATCGCACGTATGGGGAGGAAATGGATCAAGAGGAGAGAAGTCAGGCTCATGAGTCGGAGTTACAAGCATTCTTTGCACTTCTGCTTCTAATATTCAGGAAGCAGATCGCATTGGGTTAAGCAGTCGGGGTGGGAGGGAGGCAGCTACCCCTTAGAAGTACTGCCCCGCTCCAAGTGAGGACACTGCCCTGAGACTTTCTGAGGGCAGAACATCGAAATAGAACAATGATTGATCTTATCACAGAAGTAGAAAGGTATTGAAATTGTCTCAACTGGTTTTTCCCCAGCCCCTTCAACTGGGAAATGCTGGCTACGGGGTTGGGTTTTGCGAAGGTTCTCCTGGACCACATAATGCAAATATCTTCTAATTTACGGAAGATATTTGTAGATAACTTATGTAGCAGAAAGAAAGGTACACGCCAAGGGCCTGTCGACATACAGTTACCAATAGTATGACTGACACAATGAATGATCGTGTCTTCACTAAAAAGGCCTTTCTTGCGTCTGAGTCTTAACATTCTACGTGATCATCCTGACAGCAAAATTTGACGGAATAGCGAAAGTACAAGGACAGATTTCATCCGAGAAAAGTGGGCAAATGATGCGAGAAGAGGCCACCCTCCGCGGACCCAAGGGGATGGCACCCATCAGCCTTCTGTCTTCGTCTATCTTTAAACCTCACTCGAGCATCTTCCTCGATGCATCGAGATGAGATTCCGGAGACGCATCCTTCGGGTCATTGACCCCTATCACCTCGTCACTCAAGGCATGTCCTGGTGAACAACTAGGTATCAATATTTGCTGTAACACGGGTTTGTGAGCACGTAAGAGCTATCGTTGTCTGGTGATACTTGGAAGAGACATTCTTTGCTTACTGGAAAGCCCAAACTGCGGTAAACAAAAGAATGACAAATTTCAGCAGGATTCCAAGGTTAAAAATCGGAATAATAATGCCCTCAAAGGAGAAAGGCTAGCGGAATGTTTTTTTTCAGCAGATTGGGGATGTTCTTGTACCCGCAAAAACTTGCCAGTCACACCCCCCCCCCCCCCCCGCCTTTTTCATTTACAAATTTTTTATTTACAAAGTTACAAATGGGTGGCTTTCACACAGTCAAACACGGAAATAAGAATAATTTTTTTATTATGTGAATGTGTGAGAATGTAAAAATTGTGAACATGTCCCGCCGGTCTGAATTCTACAATTTTCTGCACAGGGAACAAAGACCCTGAATAGTTGTACGTCCTAGGATAGCTGATGTTCTCGTCTCTGTGAATGTGTCGCTGACGACACGAAACGTTCAATCACTCCTCTGAAACTTGCCTAGGAATCCGTCAGGCCCTGCCCATCGACGAAATCGCCTGAAGGGCTACGGAAGGAAAACACGGAATGGAATTTTGGCTTCCAGACGAAGATGGCACAGGAAAGTAATGGGCTTTCATTCATCGTTCCACGCTGAAAAACTGGACCAGAAGGTTTCTGAAGCGAATTGCAGAGAAATTATTGCACTTTTCATGCCGGGAGCGTAAGATTCGCAGATGCAAAAGGGAATAAGCTATGTCGGTCTTTCCATTGATAAATTCGAACATAAAAATGCGCTGTCAAACTTTGTCTGGCACTATACTCATAGCCGTAAATGGGTACTAAGCACTAAGTAAGTAAGCATGTATGCTCATATCGAAACGCGAATTTAAAGATTGAGCCAATAGGCCTGTACGCTGAGGCTTGTGCTAAGGGCTATGAATTTCGTGCCAGGCCAACAAATATTGGCTTTGATTAAAACTAAAAATAAATGGCAAGATCGCGAGTGGCCCTCGCGAATCGAGATCGCACAACGACAAGATGACGATCCCCCCGATTGGAACCTCACGCCGCGTGACTGCGCTCGACGGGTCGCGGCGTACTCGAATGGGAAATGATTCCGACAGAAATAAACCGGTTCATCGTACGACTCTTTTTTTTTCAATTTACGATTTCCCAGCGGTTTTCGGTTGGGTCTGACGTATTCTTCCGAGAGAGGAGATCCAAATGATCCAAACTTCTTCCATCATTCCCTTGAAGGATGAAGGATTAGTATTAGCCTGGATTATTAGTAAACGTAGCCTTAATTAAAGCGCATAATATAAGAGAAACTTGCAGGTATGCGAGCTCGGATAATCTCATTTTATTCCTACCTTGAGATACCTTATCAATTTCTCCACAACTTCTTACTTCCCGAAAACAATAATTATAAACAATAATATCACAACGACAGTATCAGCTGATACAGTTTATTTCTCTGGGAATCTGAGCGATTCGACGAAAACGAGGAAACGGGGCGCAAAAAAAAAAACTAAATTCCCCGGACGGAAATGAAGACGCGCAAGAGTGTTTATATATATTCGGTGCTAAATAATGATGAGACCTTTTAGGGCAGCTCGATTTTGCGCTGACGACCTTATGCCCTTCATTTCAAATAAATAAATAAATAAGCGGAAGAAAATG